CAATGTGGGATCCTGTATTGTATCCTGAGAGAGAAAAAAGGATCATAGTGGGAAAACTGATGACTTTTGAATAAGGGCTGTAGTTCATAATACTGTGCCGATATTAATTTCTTTGTATTGTTAACCTTGGGGAAAATTTGGTAAGGATATAAAGGAACTCTGTACTATTTTTGCAACGTTATGAGTAAAATTATTTCAGAGACAAAAAACTAAAAATATACAGGGTAAACATTCAGCTCAGTAAGTTAGAAGAACAATTGAGTATACCCAAAGGAAAAAGAAGAGAAAAAGTTCGGAAAATAAAAGATGTACTGACTCTCGGGGCGCCTGGGTGGCGTCCGACTTCGGCTCAGGTCATGATCTCACAGTTGTGGGTTCGAGCCCTATGTCGGGGCTCTGTGCCGACAGCTCAGATCCTGGAGCCTGCTTCAGATTCTGTGTCTCCCTCTTTCTCTGCCCCTCCCCTGCTCACGCTCTGTCTCTCTCTGTCTCTCAGTAATAAATAAATGTTAAAAAAAATTTTTTTTAATTAAAAAAAGATGTACTGACTCTGGAATTGTTATGCCATTTTTCTTGCAAGACTGAATAAGAAAAAGAGAATGTAGTACATAAGATTCAAAATGAAAATTGAAAATCATACTGCGTTTCTTTTGATGATATCATATCTTGCCAAGCTAGGTCCTCTACATTGCTGTGATTGAAAGCAGATACTTCGTGGAACAGGCAATGAAGGTTGCAGTGTCCACAATTTGATTCTAGGAGTTGAAAAATTGTCTAGTACCCAATAGGTACTAAGTTGTTTGAGCCTATTTGATAAGCAGAACAATTACATGTTTCTTTTAGTCAAAGGGTACCCTAAAAAAAAAGAAATATAGAGACACTGAAGATGCCATGAACCAAGAAAGTTTGTTAACCTTTGAAATACGAGAATTATGAACAACTAAGTTCTTCAGAAATTTTAAAAACCTAGATGAAATGGATAAATTCATAGAAAAATGATAGGCAACTTGAATACAGTATGAGAAACATTAGAATGGTAATCAAATATCTTCCCTCCCACAAACCCCATACCTAGATGACTTTATAGGTAAGTTCTAACAATTTCAAAGGAAAATTCCTCTCTTACACAAGTTACTACAGAAAATGGAAAAAGAGTGAAAACTGCCTTAACTCTTCATGAGGCTAATATAATCTTGATTTCAATCCCTGATAAATTCAAGACATAAAACTGTTTTTTTTCATTAATGTAGCTGAAAGGATCCTGAATAAAATATCAGCTTGTCTGCATCTAAGAATATTCTAAAAGAGTGATGCATCGTAATCAAATGGTGTTTAGTTCAGGAATCCAGACAGTTCATCTTTAAAACAATTATTAATGTAATTCACCATTTTAATAGTTGAGAGAAGAAAAAAATGTTTTCCTGATTTGATTCTGTAAAGCATTTTATAAATTTCAGTAATTGTTTATGATATAAATTCTGAGCAAAGTATATATAAAACTATTGAATATTTGGGTTTTAGATTTTTAGAAACTTTATTATGGACATTTTCAAACATATTAAAAATAGAGTGAATGATGTTATAGATCTGACATGTACTCATTGCTCAGCTTCAGCAATCACCAATAATATGGCAACTCTTTTTATGCACACACATATACACACACACACTTTTTTTTCTTGCCCTGCCGGATTATTTTAAAGCAAATTCCAGACTGCTTGTCTTCTTATGAGTCCTCAGAATATAGCTTTTTTCTCTACAACCATTAACATCCTAAAAAATTAACACTAATTCCTTAACATTATCTAATATCTAGCCTGAGTGGAAATTGTCCTGATTGACTCATAAATGGGGATTCAGAGTTCACACCTTGCATTTGGCTGTTACTCCTCATTTTTTCTTTTAATCTATAATAGCTTCTCTCCCTCTTTTTTTTTTTTTTTTCCTTTTCTTTTCTTTTCTTTTCCAGTTATGTCCCTAAGAAAATGGGTCATTTGTTCTGTGGAATTTTCCACATTCTGGATTTGTTTGTTGTGTCCCCATGGTGTTGCTTAACATGTTTCTTTATGCCCTGTATTTCCTCTGAACAGGTATTTAGGTGTAATTAAATTGTTATGTAGTATTGGAGGGGGGTATGAATACTAACTTCATGAATACTGATGTGTAACTTCTTAATTCTTCATGTCAGGAAGCACATTATGCTTGGTTTTTTTGTTTAAGATGATCAGTGGGTTTAGGTATGTTGCAGATGCAACCATTATAAAGGTCTTCGTTATCCTTTTTATCTAATGTTTTAGCAGTCACTGATGCTTGTCTAGATCATTATTTTTTATTAGGGGGTAGAAAAATATTCTAACTTAGTTTTTTGTTTGTTAGCTTGTCTTCTATAGAAGAAAAACAGTCCCTCCTCATTCCTTTGATTAGCTTGAAGTTTATATAGGAAAGGCAGATATATTCTTAATTTTTTTGTAGAAGGGCACTTTTTTTGTAAACCTACTGGGAACATAATACTAATGGATACCCTTTAGAGATGTTTTACTTTAATATTTAAAGTAAGGCAAAGATGCCTACTATTACTGCTGTTGTTTAATATATTACTGGAGGTTCTTGTCAACAGCATAAAAGAAGAAAAACAAAATGGTGTAAAGATTGTAAGGAAAGAGAAAATTGTCATTACATACAGGCTGTATACTCATTTACTCTGGGAGAAAACAAAACAGAATCAACAAACTATTAGAACTGCCTTGAGTTCATCAAGGATACTAAAAATCAATACTGTTTCTTTTCATCATCCTTAAGCAACTAGAAAATGAGTTTTTTTTTTTAAAGGAGATTGGAAGTTTATTGAATACACCACAAGGGAGCAGTGGGCAGGACAGCAAAGGAGAGACTGCCTAGAAAATGAGATTTTAAAAAAATACTTATTTAAAATAAAACCTAGAGAGTACCTAGATATTAGTCTAATCAAGAATATAAGGATTCATATGAATAAAACTTTACAACTTCAGTAAAAGACTTAAGAAAGAATCATGGATGTGATAATTTACTCTTATAATGATGTTCTTACTCTTGAAGCTTATCAATAAATTCTAAGTAATCTCTGTCAAAATTTTAGCTGGATATTTTTGAGGCACTCTATACACTTATCCTAAGTAATGTGTGGAAGAATAAAGAAGAGTTTGTGAATAGCTGAGCCAGCATTTTCGAAAGAGAATAAAAGGGAACTTATCCTGCCAGATATTAAGACCTACTACAAAGCCATAGTAATACAGTTTGGTATGGTGTAAGAACAAATAAATCACTGACACATATTAGAGAGCTTATAGACCAAAGGAGATGTGGGAGCTTTATAAAGATGACCCCATAACTAATAGGTAAAAGTTAAATCATTTAGTAGATGGTGTTGGAAAAAAATAGCTCGGTATATATTGAGAAATAAAACCTTATTCTACATGATATACAAAGGTACAGTTGTATTCCACCTAAATGTGGAAGATAAAACCAAAAGATGAATAGAAGAAAAAGAGGAATATTTTTGTGACTTGGGGTTGGTTGAGGAAAGAACTTCCTAAAACCTCACAGTATAAACCAATTGCATGTGTGTGTATGTGAATTTAATTGCATCAGAATAGGTAGTACTATTTAACAAAGGACCCCATAGGCAAAATTAATACACAAGTGACAAACAGGAGACAATATTTGCAATGTTTAATATTGCCAGGTGCCATTATCCTCTAGATTAGATTCTGCAAATAAGATAAAAGAAAGCAATCCCAGCAGAAAAATGGGCAAAGACAATTTATAGAAAAGGAAGCCCCAAAAGTAATAAGCATATAAAGAGTTGCTCAAAGATACTAGCGACCAGGGACATGCAGATTAAAACAATATGACATTATTTCAAATATGTTGACCTTGCACATATTAGAAAACCAGATAAAACCAAATGCTGATGAAGATGCAGGGCTATAAAAACCCTCATACACTGATGGGGGATATGTAGCCACTCTGGACTGTAGCATGGCACTCAGAATAAGAACTTAACATGAATTATGACCCAGAAATTCTGCTCTTGAGTTTATATGCCAAAGAACGTCGCAGACATATCTGTAAGAGAACATTTACACAATGTTTATTACAGCATTGTATAATAGAAAGGTATTGGAGGTTGTCCAGGTGTCCAGTGCAGGGAGAGTAGAGAGAGAAAATATTTTGGTTACGTGACATAGCATACTATGTAGCCATTGGAAACAGCAAATCAGATGTACACATACAAAATGAATGGATTATGTTACAGACGTGTAATCAGATGTACACATACAAAATGAATGGATTATGTTACAGACGTGTAAATGTAACGATGAGATACATAACACAATGAGAGTTAACATGCATTAAAAATACATGCGCTCAGGCAGCTTTTCCTGCCAACACGGGTCCTGTTCTGTGCTTTTAATAAAATCACCTTTTTGCACCAAAAAAAAAAAAAAAAAAAAAAAAAAAAAAAAAAAAAAAAAAAATACATGCACTCAAATACATTTTGCAAAAACACATACAACTAAAAGGGCACACAATAAGCACGGTAGAATGGTTGCCTATCAGGATACAGGAACTAGGCTAAGGTGAAATTTAAAGATGTTCCTAACTCCCCATCTCATTTCATGGAAGTGTAGGGATTCTTTTGTGTAGGATATGATCTGTAAATGTGTCTAGCTGGCAGTATGATGAAAGCAAATGAAACGACTGAAATGAAATGGGAATTTGATAGCCCCAAATCTAGTGTGAGATCTACACATCTACATATCCAGAATGAGAAGCAGGTTCTTAAGCTGACTTCATTGCTCAAAGATCTCACAGATCTTTGAGAATAATATTTCCTTCTAACACCAAAGCACTTCCCTATTCTGGCTCTTCTAGGATGGATTCCAATTGAAATATTATGTTGTGATATATACAGTTATTTTATGACACTCTGATTTTTTTTTTTTTCTTTAACTTTACAGAGACTGTGCAGTTGATCCAACTTGTGTTTTATGCATGGAGTGCTTTTTGGGAAGTATTCACAGAGACCATCGATATAGGGTTAGTAATGCCCAGATAATAACCATACCCACTATTAAATTTTATATTAGATACCTTTTCTGTCTTTTTTAAATTCCAAGATTTAACACTGAAATGGGGGAGACTGGTTTAAGAAATGTGTTATTTTAACACCATTAAACATATGATAGCAGTGTAGAAATGAATTATGAACCCAGGCTTCCTGAATACATGGTTTAGGAAAGACAGCACAGATATCAGCTCCTGCATATTCTTTTCAGCTAGTTTGTTTTGCTATTTTCTTATGTTTATTATCTTCATAATTCTAGGTTTATGCAGAAGGTTATCAAAAATTAGAGGATAAAGATGAGAGGTAAAGTGGGAGGGAGGTTCTGAAGGGAAGGACATGGGAGAAAAGGAGTAAGGAAGTGTCAGGATTATACATTTAAGAAATGCTTTGTTGGTCATTGTCTACAGAAGATTTGTCATTTCTTAATATTAAAGAGGCATCTACTACATCGCGGAAGAGGGCCCAACTCCAGAACATAAGACCCACCTATTTTATTATTTTTCTACTGCTATAATGCAGTCAGTACTTTGCAAAAAGTCAGGTATGTTTGCTTTTAAATCAAGGATATGAACAAAGACAGTTTATGCTAAGCCTGTCCTAAGCCTGTCCTGGCTCCTCTACTAGAAATTGAAGGCAAAGCCGTGAGCATTCAAAAGTTAAAGACGTGTTAGTAGCTGGAACTTTTCACCCTCAAATGAAATAGTAGAGGGAATATTGCAATCTTATTATTAATTCAGGAGCCCTGTTGGCTCAGGACTTTTCCTCCTGTTTGTTTTTTTTCACTCTACCCGAGTATTGCTAATAATGAACTAAAACAGCTACAAAATTAAGACCCCTTGTGTCTTTGTATGTTTTTATTTTCAGAAGTCAGTAAGAGAATCCCAGTTTTCTTTAAGCTGTTCTATCTATATCTCGGGCAACCAGAAGAAGAATAAAAACTATAGGGTTATCATTTTCCAAATGGCTGCCTCCTCATGGTTTGTGGGTTTTTTGTGGGGTTTTTTTGTTTGTTTGCTTGTGTTTCGGCATATATCCCTGCAGCCCCTGGGAATAATTGTCACTTGTGGATTTACATTAATTATATTTTTATATATAACAGATACTTTCTTTGGACAGTATGTAATAGGGCTCATTCTGAAATTTGCAGCAAATACCCACTCCTAAAACTCTCTCATGCAGTATTTTTTTAAGGCAGAATTTCCTATAATTAATGAGTTGTATCTTGCTAGATTCCTTGACTCATTGCCATATCTTAGGGAAGTATGAATAATTCTTGAACCCTGCAGATGGTGAAAACCTTTTCTGACCAGACAATCCACTTTTACATTTCCTGAGCTGCTTTCCTTGTCCAAGAATGCTATTTAGAGGGTGTTAGAAAAGGAAAAACAAACTATTTCTGTAGTTTTTGTTGGTCACTTTCTCTTATCAGATGCAACAATCTTCTAGGGAAAAATAACCATAGTAATCTTTACAGCTCTTGAATCTGTTATATTACATTAGAGCACTGTAACCAGGTGACATTAATACCAACATTGTACCAAAGCCCAGCAGGAAAACCCTGATGTTTTTCCTAATTAAGGAAGTCATGTAGGTAGGCACATTTTACCTCTTTAAACTAGACTAGACACTACAAAGTAGCTTATTTCATTTCAGAATCACTTAATTTAGGCTTATTTAAGCTTTAAAACATCAAGAGGTTTGGCATTTTATTTCATTTTACTCCTCAAAAGAAATGAAACATTTTAGCGACGTTATTTCCTTAGCACTTGCTATTCTTATTTATAATCTGATAGCCCTCAGTAAATACTTATTGACAAGATACTTTACAATTTTTTTTCAAGATGACAACATCAGGAGGTGGAGGTTTCTGTGACTGTGGTGATACTGAAGCTTGGAAAGAGGGTCCTTACTGTCAAAAACATGAACTTAACACCTCTGAAATTGAGGAAGAAGAGGTAAAAACGTTTTCACAAAGTTGTTTTTAAGGAAATACTGTTTTAACCACAAGTTTGAAATATTTTCAGACATAGGAACTAGGTTATGAGAAATGAATAAGCAAAATAGTCCTGTCACTCTTACCAGTGACTAGACCTACTTTGAAAGGTCTTTACATTTTATGGATGTCATACCATTGCTATTAGTACTCACTTGTAATTCTGGAAGTTTAATTTAATTTGGACTTCTATTTGAGGTTTTGTTTTAAGTCCTCATTTATTATTGAAAGATTATTTTTCCTATGTGTATAGATTAATTTTGTTGTTTTTTGTATATTTGTGTTGTGACTAAGATTTTGTAGGCCAGGTACCCTTCTTTTCTGTAACTATACGTGGGAGCCAGTTCTAATCACCATCTGGCATATCAGTGTCATTGGATATGTGATGAGACCAAGTATAAATAGCAAAGTACAAATTACAGTCACTCCAGCTGTAAATATGTGCTTTTTAAAATTCTTGATTCTGCATTATTTTCTCTAAATGATATTTGTAATGATATAGTAGACTCTTACTAAATAAATACTTAAATCTCTGCTGCTATTTCTGACAGTTTGATGTTTGATTCAACACCCTCATTTCAGATTTTATTTTTAAATGATAGAGAAGTAGATACATTCAAAGTACTTATGCATAGTTAGCAGCTCTGCTACAGATTTGGGGCAAGTGAACATTAATAGTACTTCCTGGTCCTCATACCTTACAAGTCTCAAATATTTGACCTGCACTTTATGGTGCAGGACAGAGTCTTTTAGAGTGTGTTCCACTGTGCTTAGGACAGATTAAAATTTGTGTGAAATGATTGAGTGCTATGAAAAACATATATTTTGTGTTTCATTTGCCTTGTGTAAGTGGTGTAGGATTTGCAACAGACACCCAGTGATTAGAGTTTCAGATTTCTCCACTTCTATTGGAGGAGCTCCATTTTTATCTCTTTTATATATTGGATTGGATTTCCATTTGTAAAAATACAAGACAAATATTTGACAAAAAGAGCTGTAGTTTTAATTTAAAAAAATGAAGACTGGTATAAAACTATGGGAGAAGACATTTGCAAATCATATACAGTAGTCCCACCTTATCCATGGAGGGTGTGTTCCAAGACCCCCTGTTGATATCTGAAGTTGTGGATAGTACTGAACCCTATAGATACTAGTTTTTTTCTTATTCGTACATACCTATGATAAGGTTTAATTTATAAAGTCTAATTTTTTGTCAGTAAGAGACTGGTAATAACTAAAAATAGGACAATTATAACAGTATATCATAATAGAAGTTAGGTGAGTGAGCACTCACTCACTTGCTCTCATAATATTGTACTGTACCTACCTTTCTTGTGATGATGTGAGATGATAAAATGCCTACTTTGATGAGATGAAGTGAGGTGAAGGCCATAGGCATTGTGACATAAAGTTAGGCTACTGTTGACCTTCTGACTATGCCTCAGGAGAAAGAGTATCTGCTTCCAGTCTCCCAACTGACCTGGTGGTGACCGAAACCATGGATAAGGGGGGGACTTAATGTATCTGAGAAAGGTTTCGTATTCAGAGTATATATCTTACAACTCAACAACAGAACCACAAACAACACAAAAATGGGCAAAGGACTTGAATAGACATTTCTCCAAAGAAGATGTAATACACATGACCAACAAACATGTGAAAACATAGTCAGCATCATTAGTTATTAGGGAAATGCAAATTGAAACCACTTCACACCCACTAAGATGGCTATAATCAGAAAAAAAGGAATGTATGTGTTGGTGAAGATGTAGAAAAAGTGGAGCCCTGGTACATGCCTAAAGGGGATGCAAAATAATTCAGAGCCGTGGAACAGTTTGACTATTCCTCCAAAGATTAAACATAGAATTGCCATATGAGCCTGTAATTTCACTGTTAGGTATATACCCAAAAGCACTGGAAGCAGGTGTTCAAATGAGTATCAACTATAATGTCTATCCGTAGATGAATGGATAGACAAATTGTGGTGTACAGATAACGTACTATTACTCAGACATAGAAAGGAATGAAATACTGATACCTGGTACAACTTGGATGAACCTCCAAAACATTATTCTAAGTGAAGGAAGCCAGATGCAAAAGAACACATATTGTCTGATTCCATTTATATAAAATACCCAAAATAGGTAAACTTGTAGACAAAGCACACACTGGTGGTTGCCAAGGGCTGGGGAAGGGGAGAATGGCAAAAACTGCTTAATGGGTAGGGCGTTTTACTTTGAAGTAATAGAAATGTTTTGGAACTATAGAAAGGTGGTAGTGGTACAACATTATGAATGTACTAAATACCACCAATTAGTTTACTTTAAAATGGCTAGGTTTCTGTTCGGTGAATTTCACCTCAATAAATTACTTAGAAAAATCTTAGGACTTTTGTTACCTTTTAATCTTTGTTTTAGATAGACTGAAAATAATTTTTGAATAAAATTTGCTTGCAGTTACTCTGTTGACTTTATCCTCATACATCAGTTGGGTAGCTATCAAATATTGACGACTTGAGTTAATTTCCCGTTAGGAAGATGTTAGCAAGCTTGCCTGCCTGGCTGAAGTTATATGGTTCTGCCTGGAGAATCTATACTGCAGCAACTTGACAGAGAATAAACCTCCACACTCTGCCATTTAATTCCAATTTAAGAATTCAGTTAAGAGAAATGAAGTCCTTAAGGATAAGACTGTAAGAGAAGCTGTTTTTAAAATAGCATTTTGTTTAGCATTCCTGGTCCCCACTCAGTAAATTTATACATATATCTAGGGTTTTTTTTATCTTTTATGCTTAAAATGGAAGAAAGCTATAAAATATTTGCAATGTACTTTTTTAGTCTGTCATAGAATTGTTTTTATTGAATGTAATTTTTTATTATACATTTAGCCTACATCTTAAGAAAAAAGTTGGAAAAAATATACCTGTATATTATCAAGTATATACTTGATAATACACTTCTCTAGGGATAATGTTTAGCAGTTCCATGGATCTTCTCAACTCTTGGCATTTGGGATGGGACTTTTGTTGTTGTTATGTAGGCCAGGGATCAGCAAACTATGGCCCCATAGAGGCCCGTCACTGGCACCATCATAAACTAAGAATGGTTTTTATATTTTTAAATATTTGGAAAAAATCAATAGGATGGTGTCTGTGGCATGTGAAAATGGTAGGAAATTCAGATTTCGGTGTCTATAAACAAAACTGTACTGCAACACAGGTATGTTTAATTGTGCATTGTCTATAACTGCTTTTCCACTGCAACAGCAAAATTGAGCAGCTGTAACAAATACCCTGTAGTCTACAAAAACTAAAAGACTTAGTATCTGACTCTTCACAGGAAAAGTTTGCTGATCCCAGATACATGCTGTCAGAAGCATTGTGTTTACTCTACTTATTTCCCACTCACTAAATGGCAGTAGCATCTCCCATCACTGTGGCAACAGTAAATGCCCAGCCAGGTTTCCAATGGGCCCTTTGGGCATGGGGATAAGTAGGGAGTCTGGACTGTCTCTTTTGATCATCTTCATAGGAACTATAAGAAGTTTCTCTTCCGTCTCTGCATTAGGAAGTGTTATGTTTCTCTTGCTATGGGTCTGGTAACTGATTCCGTTTCCTTTTGTTGAGGCTTCTGGGAAACAGAGCCAAATGTTTGGAAACAGTGCCTGTGTATAGTAGCTATTTGGAATTTTATATGATCTGCCTTTACAGTAAACACATTATCACCTAATTTTCCTACCTTTATTCTGGTTTTGCCCACTTTGTACATCTATTTTTTTTAATACTGTCTCATTACACTGATGTACTCTTAAGTTGCTGTAAAACCTTTTTGGAATGAAATTTAATTCAGTAACAAATGCACTGAATGAACGACCTCGGTGAAGACTTTTTTTTACCTGAAATTTTCCCTTATCGATACTGCTCTCATCTCAAATGAATACAGATTTGTGATTATTAATAGCTAAAAATTATGCCAAGTACTATACTTTGTTTATCTCATTTAATTCTCAGAACAGTCCTGTTGGATAAGTACTGCTGTTACAGAGATTTTATAGCTGCAGAAGCTTGGGTTTTAGAGAGATTTAAAAACTTGCCCAAAGTCTTTTTTTTTTTTTTTTTTAAGTTTATTTTGAGAGAGAGAGCACATGCAAGAATGCGAGAAGGGGAGGGGCAGAGAGAGAATCCCAAGCAGGCTCAGCTCTGTCAGTACAGAGCCCGATGTGGGGCTCGAACCCACGAACCATGAGATCATGACCTGAACTGAAATCAAGACTCAGACACTTAACCAACTGAACCACCCAGGTGCCACCCAGAGCGTCTTAATGGTAATTTGAACTCCAGTAATGGAACTCTTTAACAGTGTATTGCCCTGATTTTATTTTTTTCTCCAAATTTTTATTTAAATTCCAGTTAGTTAGCCAGTGGAATATTAGCTTCGGGTGTAGATTTTAGTGATTCATCACTTACATACAACACCCAGTGGTCATCATAGCAAGTGTCCTCCTTAATATTCATTACCTATTTACCCCATCCCTCACCTACCTCTTCTCTAGTAACCATCAGTTTGTTCTCTATGGTTAAGAGTCTGTTTCTTGGTGGGGCACCTAGGTGGCTCAGTCAGTTGAGCATCTGACTCCGGTTTCAGCTCAGGTCATGATCTCATATTTTGTGAGTTCGAGCCCCACATTGGGCTCTAAGTTGACAGCACAGAGCCTGCTTGGGTTTCTCTCTCCCTGTCTCTCTGTCCCTTCCCCACTTGTGCTGTCTCTGTCTCTCTCAAAATAAGTAAATAACTTAAAAAAAATTTTTTTTAAAGTCTGTTTCTTGGTTTGCCTGTCTTTATTCCTGCCCCCTGTTCATTTGTTTTGTTTCTTAAATTCTACATGTTAGTGAAATCGTATGATATTTGTCTTTGACTAACTTATTTCCATTAGCATAATACTCTCTAGCTCCATCCACATTGTTACAAATGGTAAGATTTCATTCTTTTTTATGGCTGAGTAATATTCCAGCGTGTGTGTGTGTGTGTGTGTGTGTGTGTGTGTGTGTGCGCGCGCGCGCGCGCGCGCGTGCACACATGCATACATATACATATACCACATTTTTTCCATTCACCAGTGGATAGACATTTGGGCTTCTATCATAATTTGGCTATTGTTGATGATGCTACATTGCACTGATTTTTAAAGTAATTTTTAGCAGTGGAATTTTTTTTAATAAAAGTCTAATTTAAAAATCTTAATAGGGGTGCCTGGGTGGCTCAGTCGGTTAAGCGGCCGACTTCGGCTCAGGTCATGATCTCACAGTCCATGAGTTTGAGCCCCGCATTGGGCTCTGTGCTGACAGCTCAGAGCCTGGAGCCTGTTTCAGATTCTGTGTCTCCCTCTCTCTGACCCTCCCCTGTTCATGCTCTGTCTCTGTCTCAAAAAAATAAATAAACGTTAAAAAAAAAAATTTAAAAATCTTAATAATAACAGATAAAAGTGGTATTATTTTTTTATTCCTGTATAATTAGCATACAGTGTTATATTAGCTTCAGGTGTGTAATATAGTGTTTCAACAATTCTACACATTACTCAGTGCTCCTCATGATTAAGTGTACTCTTAATCCCCTTCACCTATTTTCACATGTCCCCCCACCCACTTCCCCTCTGGTAACTAACAATTTGATTCCCTATATTTCAGAGTCCGTCTTTTGTTTGTCCTTGTTTCTTTGTTCAGTTGTTTCTTAAATTCCACATATGAGAGGCACCTGGGTGGCTCAGTCAGTTAAGTGGCTGACTCTTGGTTTCAGCTTAGGTCATGATCTCATGGTTTCTGAGTTCAAGCCCTGTATTGGCTCCATGCTGACAGCATCGAGACTGCTTGGGATTCTCTCTCTCTCTTCCTCTCTCTCTACCCCTCCCTTGCTTGTGCTCTCTCTCTTTCTCTTAAACTTAAAAAAAAAAAAATTCCACATATGAGTGAAATCATATGGTATTTGTCTTTCTCTGCCTGACTTACTTCACTTAGCATTATAACTTATAGATTCATACACATTGTTTCAAATGGCAAGATTTTATTCTTTTTTATGGCTGAGTAATAATTCCATTGTATACATATGCTACATCTTTATCCTATCAGTGGTCACTAAAAGTGGTATTATTAATGAATTTATTGTTTATAAGTTGAATTGTGTATTAGTTACTTGTTAGAAAGTCAACTCGTGAAATAAGCGAGGTTGTTTTGATGACTGGTTTCTAGTTTATTACCAGTTTTAGTTGGGCAATATAGAGAAATGTAATTTTTCCATACCCATAGCTTATTTGCATATGAGAAGAGTTAAAATTATTATTATAATACAGTATATGCTTACATTAAAAAAAATTCAATGGGGCACCTAGGTGGCTCAGTCGACTGGGCATCCAACTTTGACTCAGGTCATGGTCTTGAGGTTCGTGACTTTGAGCCCCACGTCGGGCTCTGTGCTGACAGCTCAGACCCTGGAGCCTACTTTGGATTCTGTGTCTCCCTTTCTCTCTGTCCCTCCCCTGCTCATGCTCTGTCTCTTTCTCTCTCTCCCAAAAATAAATAAACATTAACAAAAATTTTTAAAATTCAGGGGCACCTGGGTGGCGCAGTCGGTTAAGCGTCCGACTTCAGCCAGGTCACGATCTCACGGTCCGTGAGTTCGAGCCCCGCGTCAGGCTCTGGGCTGACGGCTCGGAGCCTGGAGCCTGTTTCCGATTCTGTGTCTCCCTCTCTCTCTGCCCCTCCCTCGTTCATGCTCTGTCTCTCTCTGTCCCAAAAATAAATAAACGTTGAAAAAAAAATTTTTTTAATAAAAAAAAAAATTTTTTTTAAATTCAAACATTATAGTAGTGTATCACATAAAAGACTAGTTTTCCATAACCCCCACTGCCTTCTAACATAAGCACAGATGATCTTTTTAACAATATGCCTTGTATTCTTCTGGTTTGAAAGAAGAATAACTCAAGTTGACTCACTGACAAAGATGTGTATTTTCTAAAATAAACATACTCAAAGAACTAGTTATTAGTCATAGTTGATAATACAACATAGGATGAGATGGTCATTTATTTACTCATTCCAACTGACTTATGCTCTCATAAGAGCAATTTGAGCAGAAGTCTTTCTTAGTGTTTAATTTACTATTGTACATATGAGTAGACTTGCACAGCCTAGTATCCTTTCACTGCAGAAATAATTCTTTTTAATCAGTGATCATTTTTCAAGAAGTAGACATGTGTATCCAAAAATAGCAGAAAAATCTGTATTCCTAGGCCTGCCCCAAATTTGGCCAATGTAATAGCAAAGTTACCAGTTGGTGATCCCCAATATGTAATATAACACATTTTAGAGTATATTTTTACATTACTATTTTAAAATACAGGTAATTCTATATTTTTAAACTGATGTACAATTCAAACAGGAAACAGCTCTACCAGGTCCTGGGATTTTGTACAACAGTTTGAACACTACTGGCCTGGATTCTCAAGAATTGGCAGCAGTTTCTCTTTCAGGATCTGTTCCGTGCTTATAAATCTTGTTTGTTGTAATCGTTTCATCCTCTGATGTCTTATAACGTGGGACATAATTGTGAGAAATGGAATAATTGTAAGATAATATCACCAAGGAAACTGAATTTTCTACTTTCTATTTTGGTGTAGCATGAGGTTCATATTGTTATTAATACCCATACTTTTATGAATCCCCAGGATGTACCAGTTCTGGTTCCTTCTTTGTATGGATTGTTTCACTATGTTAATCATTTCTAGCCTCTATAAGAAATAGTAAAACTATGCTGGTAGGATAAAAAAATTTTCTTACATGGGACATATAAAGCAATCCATTGAGAAGAGTTGTGTAGGTTAAAAAAAGTGCTGTAAGACTTTGAAAAGTCTTCTTACTCTTCTTACTTTTTCTTCTGTTCTTCAAGCTCTACACCCATCTCCTTTAGGAATCTTTGTCTTGTTTTCCCTCCATTCTTTTTATTCCTCCTCTCCATTTGTTTTGTGTCAGTTCTACTAGGCTTATCTTTGGGGAGGATGTGCAAAAATGTCTGTATCCTTCATGTATATTTGCAAGAATGTGTTCATTCCTATTCTATGATGCTGGAACATACTGATTTTCTTATTTGAGAAATAATATAACACTAGCCATTAAGCTAAATAACATGTTTAGATTTAAGAGAAAGCATAAAGATTAAAATCGTGTAAAACATTTTGCCTAAAAGGTATGATAAACTCAGTGTATGTTTATAGTAATGCTTTTTCACATAACCTAGAAATTTTCTGACATACTCCCAGTTAAGTATAAGATGCAAAGTGCCCTGTTCCATGCATATGCAATGTGCCCTGATGAAATAAAGTAGACAAGGGAATCAAGGGGTAGTTCTCTGACTTTGTTGATTTCTTCCCTTTAGAATCCTCAAAATCAGGCTCTCCTTCATACCTGTAAAACTAAATATTGCTGGTCTGCCCTTGGATAACATTCCTTTGTTTATTCTGGAAATTGGGATTAGGAGGATATGAAGCTATAAAGATGGTTTGATGTTAAGTTTTAAAGATCTTGGAATGCCATTCTAAAGTGTTTAGATTTATGCATTAGGCATTGGGGTGCCATTGAACATTTTTGATTCAGTAATTGGGATCATTATGAACAAAGTGTTTTAGGAAACTGGATTTGGTAGGATGTAATGTACAGGCTCAAACTGAAGAGAAGCCGAAGCTGGAAGATCAGCCAGCTATTTACATTAGTATTTTGAGGTAAGGGAAGATGAGAATTAATGTGCATTTAAGATGGTTGCGGTTTTTTTTTTCTGTTCTTTCAGGATCCTCTTGTACATTTATCAGAAGATGTGATAGCAAGAACCTACAACATTTTTGCTATTATGTTTCGATATGCAGTCGAGATACTAACCTGGGAAAAAGAAAGTGAACTGCCAGCAGATTTAGAGATGGTGTAAGTGTGACACATTTATTCTTCATATTCGTATTTGCTCAAACTCAGTTTTAACCATTTTGATTCTAATTCCTCAAATTGAGTTGGAGCAAGGATAGAAGGATAGAGCATAATCTTTTCTTTCTTAATAATTACTTTCCCACAGAACAACTCTTTTATTTTATAGCTTTTAAATATGTGTGATCCACTTAGTTGGTAGAGGTTTCTCCCTGTTAATTGATTGGTTTAGTTAAGCCATGTCAGGGCTCTGCCCCTGGTTTCAGGCACAGGCAGTTTTCTGTTCTTCGTGTGATAAAACTGGTAACTCTAATATTTTTACCATTTGTACTTAGATTATTGAGGAGGTTGCGAACATGTGACCAGAGAGCTGGATTCGGCCATAGCTGTTTTAAGGGCTTCCTTTTCCATGTGATGTGCTTGCCTCAAGCAACAGTCTCTTTAAATCTAACCGAGATTGTTGGAATTGTATTCATATTTAAGATTGATTACAAGTTGAAGTGAGGGTCTGATGAACATTGGTGGTTTCTGTTTTGCTTCTCAGTAGTATTCTAGATAATTAGGTTGTGGGTTGTTTTTTTTAAAAAGTAAGGTGTTAGCTATATCTTTTTGGAAATGTTGAAAATGGTACCTCAGGAACTTGTCTTCACATACAGGTGTACCTTGTGGGTTTTGTAGGTTGGGTCCAGACCACTGCAATAAAGTTTGCCACATCAACTGACTCTTTTATCACTTGAACACTTAGAGGCCATTATAGGGCTATTAATTGGCCTACTTTCAATATTGTGTCTCAGGGAACAGGGAGGCCCCAGGAGAGGAAGACAGACGGGGAAACAGCTGGTGGGTGGAGCAGTAAGAACACACACAACATTTATCAATTAAGTTTGCAATCTTATGTGAATATGATTCCGAGTGCCCCAAAACAATTAGGATAGTAACATCAAAGATCAGTGATCACAAATTGCCATAAGAAATATAGTAATGATTAAAAAAAGTTTGAAATATTGTAAGAATTATCAAAATGTGATGTAGAGACAGGACATGAGCAAATGCTGTTGGAAAGATGGCATTGATAGGCTTGCTCAACATAGGGTTGCCACAAACCTTCAATTTGTAAAAACAAACAAAACCCCACAGTATTTGTAAAGCACAATAAAACAAGATGTGCCTGTACTTCAAGTTGGGAGCCATTGATCGAAAGCCCAAATTTAGACCCTAGAGCATAGAAGAGTTTTGTTTTTTAATTTTTTTTAATGTTTATGTATTTTTGAGAAAGATAGACACAGTGAGAGCAGAGGAGGGGCAGAAAGAGAGGGAGACACAAAATCTGAAGCAGGCTCCAGGCTCTGAGCTGTCAGCACAGAGACTGATGCAAGGCTCGAACTCAATGACCTGTGAGATCATGACCTGAGCCGAAGTCAGACACTTAACCGACTGAGCCACCCAGGCACCTCAGAAGAGTTTTTTTACCTTTTTGTTCCATTGTATGTTCAAGGCTACCAATATATAAGGGAAAAAAATCTAACTTGCTTCTTTTATAATGTTTTCCCATGTTAGTAAACTACCCAGAAACCTGCATCACCTATACCCATTTAGATTTCAAGTCCAGCTGGTTCTCCCTCCATCAAACCATTCTACTTCTGGCGTGCCTGGGTGGCTTAGTCGGTTAAGCGTCCGACTTCGGCTAAGGTCATGATCTCACGGTCCGTGAATTCGAGCCCCGTGTCGGGCTGTGTGCTGACAGCTCAGAGCCTGGAGCCTGCTTCAGATTCTGTGTCTCCCTCTCTCTCTGACCCTCCCCTGTTCATGCTCTGTCTCTCTCTGTCTCAAAAATAAATAAACATTAAAAAAAAAAAAATTCTACTTCTGTTCCTCTCTATTTCTACTATCCTAGTCCAGATTAATTAATCATTCAGCAACATGGCCTCCCTAACTGAACTGCCATATCTACTCTTGTCCCTTAAGATTCATTCACCCTGTAGCACAGTGAACGTTAAGGCAAATCTGACTATATCTCCTATTTTAAATCCTTCAATGCCCTTAGAATGGCAAAATCAATTTCCATTGTAAGGTCTTCAAGATTTCTGCCTCTCTCCAACCTAATCTTCTCCCTCCCTGTGTTCCAGTTCCTAATACTTCCCTTTGCCACCTCAGGACCTTTGCATTCACCCTCCTCTAGCCCAGGTTTCTCAACTGTTGGCATTTAGGACCAGATTAGTTCTTTGTTATAAGGGCTGTCCAGTGCATTGTAGAATTTTTTTTGTTTTATTAATTTATTTTTTTAGTAATCTCTACCCCCAGCATGGGGCTCGAACTCACAACCCTGAGGTCAAGAGTCACATGCTCTTCCAACTGAGCCCATCAGGTGCCCAGTGGATTGTAGAATATTTAGCAGCATCCCTGGCCCTTATACACTAGATGCCAGTGACATTCCTGCCCCAGTCATGACAACAAAAAATGTCTCCAGACATTGCCAAATTGTCCTCTGTGGGGGACAGAGAATTGCCTCTAGTTGAGAACCGCTGATAGCCAATTCTGACTCTAGGCGTCAGATGACTTCTGTGGCAGTTCTTCTCTGAAGTCCCAGACCTGTTTTGTCCAACTGCAGCATTCTGTTCTTCTTGATAAAAGCTAGTTCAGTTAGAATTACATGTCTAATATATATCTTCCCCATCAGATGGTAATGTCATAGAGCATGGGGACCGCAGATGACTTTGCCATAGATATGTGCCCAGTACCTAGCACATTCCCTAGAGCAAAGTATGCTCTTACTAAATCAGCCTGAAGCTAGAGAATATGCAATTAGATAATATATAATTAATTTTTTATGTCACAGAGAGAAGAGTGATACCTACTATTGCATGCTGTTTAATGATGAGGTGCATACCTATGAACAAGTTATTTATACCCTTCAGAAAGCTGTTAACTGTACACAGAAAGAAGCCATTGGCTTTGCAACGACAGTAGATCGTGATGTAAGTAATTTCATTATATTGATGTCGGATAATAAATTGAACTTTCATTACAGATAAATTATTCTGGGAATATTGAGTTAGAGGTATATATGTCTAGTCTATTTTTTTTTATTTCATTTTAATATTGGCCCAAATACATACTCGGTATTACTGTAATCTGATATTCCATAGAAAGTTTAGGAGGAAATATAGATACAGTTGTCCTCATTCTACCCAGTGATTAGAAATAGTCAGTTATGGGACGCTTGGGTGGCTCAGTCGGTTAAGTGGCCGACTTCGGCTCAGGTCACGATCTCACACTCCGTGAGTTCGAGCCCCGCGTCGGGCTCTGTGCTGACTGCTCAGAGCCTGGAGCCTGTTTCAGATTCCGTGTCTCCCTCTCTCTGACCCTCCCCCGCTCATGCTCTGTCTCTCTCTGTCTCAAAAATAAATAAACGTTAAAAAAAAAAATTAAAAAAAAAAAAAAAGAAATAGTTATGAAAATAGAAAGTATAGCAGCCTAGAAGAATAAATGTCGTATTGTTTAAGGAACTATACTTATTAATGGCTTGAAAATGTTAGGATGGTTTTGAAGGAAAATATTTTAATTTACTTTTCATCATTGAATAGAATGAATGTTATAAATATTAAAATTGGCCAGAACTGTTATATGCATAAATATGTTTATTTGTTTACTGGTTGAACAGTTTTAATACTGAATATAGTATTTTTACATGTTAATTTAAAATTTTTTCATTTACCAGGGACGTAGGTCTGTTCGATATGGAGATTTCCAGCATTGTGAACAAGCAAAATCAGTAATTGTGGTAAGTAATTTAGAAACATACCCACAGTATTATTTTTTTTATTTAAAACTAGTTCTGTATTTTGTCATTTATGAATGCATTTTTCTGCTTTCATGAAGGTAAAGCCAGCATCAACCAAAAGTCATATTTAATGATATGTTTCTCGAACATTGCATTATTGCTTTATCTAGTTTTTTTCAGCTGTGTAAGATTAATATAGAAAATGAATGTTTACATGAGATATATTTTCTGCCTTCCTATTTCTCTATCAGAGACATCTTAGAAAGTGTTTCATTGTTGTTTTGTTTTTGATAGGGTGTCACGTTACTTTTTAGGACTTAAACTGGCCTTTAGCACCAAGATTAGAATTCAAGGGAAGTTGTTTCTTGGTAACTTATAGCAAGGTATGCTGCATATATAATAGCACTTAGTGTATTATTTCTCTAAAAGAAAACTATTTCCCATGTTTATATTTATTTTTAAAAAGTAAGAATTATTTTAAACTATTCCATGTAAATGCATTTTATGTAAATGTCCTTTTAAAAAATAATTTTGTGTATTGTGAAATATTTTAAATATACAGATAAAAACAGAAATGACACAGTAAACACCTGTATGCCCACATTATACAACATTTCCTCATACTTTATGTAAACAAAATAATACAGAGTACCCAGTATTATTCCTTTAATCTTGCTCCCTTTTCTCCTACCCTAGGGATAAGTACTTTCATTAATTCATTTGTTCATTCTTGTGTGTGCCTCTATACTTCCATTTATTAAATCTGTCAACATTATATGTATTGATTTGGAGGCCTTTAAACATTATATAACAAGCTTCATACTGGATGTATTATACTGCAACTTTTCATTTCAGTGTTGGTTCTACATTTATGTGTGTTGATGCATGTACCTGTGAAGTGTTCCATTGATAACTTTACCATAGTTTTTCCATTCTCCTGCTGATAGACAATTAGGATAATCCCCCCCCCCCCCCATCACTAACAGTCCTTTTATGGACATTGTTTTGTCTCCTTGTTGCATAGATGCAAAGGTTTCTGTAGGGTATATACCAAGAAATGGAATTTCTGAGTTGTTAGGATATCAGCATTTTCATCTTTATTAGATTTTGCCAAGTTAGTCTCCAAAACAGTGGTACTAATATACATTCCCACCAACAGTGTATAGAGAGTTCCCATTTCTCCACAGCTTTGTCAAAACTGTATGTTGTCAGATTTTTTAACTTTTGCCAATTTAATGTGTATGAATGGCATCTCATCAATTAAATTTGCATTGCCTTAATTATTGAGTACCTTACTTCATGTTTATTTTTTTCTTTGAATTTCCTATTCGTACCCTTTACCATTTTTTTTCATTTAATGTTTAGGATAAACAGAGCACTCATAGATTATCAAGTAGGAACAAAATAGAAAAATGGACATAGGATATGAAAAGGCAGTCACAGGAGAGAAAATCTAGGCAGTCAGTGTATATGAAGAGACTCATTTGTTAGTAATCAGTAAAATGACAAGGAGATTTCATACTCATCAGGATGGAGAAATTAGAGTTATAAAATATCTTACTGGCAGAGAATTGGAATACTTGTGTAAAACTAAATTGCTACAGCATTTTAGGAAAATAATCTAATAGCATCTATGAAAGTTACCTTTCCTAAGAATTTATCCCATAGAAATGTAAGCACTAGGAAGTGTGTGTACAAAGATGTTCAGTACTGCTTTTTTTGGAGTCAACAGAAGACTGAAACAAAGGGAAGATGAATGCCCTTCTCTAGAGGATGTTTGAATAAATCCACACCACAGAATATCATGAGTCATTAACAAAAAAAATCAGTTAATGCAAAGATGCACAAGAGTATATATAGTATCCCATTTTTATAAATCAAATAAAAATCTTTATAAATGTATACATACATAATATATAGAGATAGAGAAAATATGCAAAGATGTACTGTCTTTTTTTTTAATATGAAATTTATTGTCAAATTGGTTTCCATACAATACCCAGTGCTTATCACAACAGGTGCCCTCCTCAATACCCATCACCCACCCTCCCTTCCCTCCCACCCCCCATCAACCCTCAGATTGTTCTCAGTTTTTAAGAGTCTCTTAAGGTTTGACTCCCTCCCTCTCTAACTTTTTTTTTTGTTGTTACTTCCCCTCCCCCATGGTCTTCTGTTAAGTTTCTCAGGATCCACATAAGAGTGAAAATATATGGTATCTGTCTTTCTCTGTATGACTTATTTCACTTAGCATAACACTCTCCAGTTCCATCCACATTGCTACAAAAGGCCAGATTTCATTCTTTCTCATTGCCAAGTAGTATTCCATTGTGTATATAAACCACAATTTCTTTACCCATTTATTAGTTGATGGACATTTAGACACTTCCCATAATTTGGCTATTGTTGAGAGTGCTGCTATAAACACTGGGGTACAAGTGCCCCTATGCACTAGCACTCCTGTATCCCTTGGGTAAATTCCTAGCAGTGCCATTGCTGGGTCATAGGGTAGATCTATTTTTAATTTTTTAAGGAACCTCCACACTGTTTTCCAGAGTGGCTGCACCAGTTTGCATTCCCACCAACAGTGCAAGAGGGTTCCCGTTTCTCCAGATGTACTGTTTTAATGTGGGTTATGGAGATGGAATGAAGTTGGGGTAGAAGGATGCTCCAAACAAAAAAATGAGAAGGGGGAATAAAAATTAAAAATTGTGTTAGACTTAAATAGACATTTCTTCAAAGAAAGTATATAAATTACCAATAAACACACGGAAACATGCTCAACATTACTAACCGTTAGGGAAATGCAAATAAAAACCATGATGAGATACCACCTGAAACCCGTTAGGATTGCTGTTATAAACAAAAACAATAGCACAACATCGCAAGTGTTGGTAGGGATATGGACGAATTGCAACCCTTGTGCACACTGCCGGTGGGAATGTAAAATGGTACAGCCACTATGGAAAACTGTATGGTGGTTCCTTTAAAAAAAAATAGAATTACCATATGATCCAGCAGTTTTGCTTCTGGATATATACACAAAAGAATGGAAAGCAGAGCCGCAGAGACATTTGCACAGCTATGTTCATAACAGCATTATCATTCACAATAGACAAATGATAGAAGCAATGCAAGTGTCTATTGATGGGTGAATGGATAAAATAAAATCTATATACATACAATAGAATATCATTCAGCCTTAAAAAGGAAGAAGATTCTGACACATGCTACATACATCCTGGATGAACCTTGAGGACATTATGCTTAGAGAAATAAGCCAGTCACAAAAAGATAAATATTGCATGATTCTGTTTATATGATACCTCTAGAGTTTGGTAGGTATAGAGTTTGGGTTTTGCAAGATGAAGAGAGTTCTGGAGATTGGTTACTCTACAGTGTGAATGTACTTAATAACACTTCTGAACTGTACACTGAGAAACGGTTACGTTGGAAATTGTAGTATTTTTTTTTTTGAAGTATCAATAACATCGCTTCTGTGCAGTAAAGCAAATTATTTAAATAAACGTGTAATTACATTTAAGAAATTAAAGACCTAAAACAAATGTAAGCTTTTAAATAAATTCTAATTGGTGGGGCAGATTTTCAAATATAGGACCAAAGATTCAGGTTACTCATGAGCTGTAACTTCTTACTTTGTTGTAAGAATCCTTAGATTCTTTCTAGAAAATTAGGATCTGAGTAAGGCAAGCCAAGTGGTATTTTTCTTACACACATACATGAAAAATTCTCCTGTAATGATGAGAGTGTAGTTACATTAAATAAAAATATTAGCTTTTTTCTATAAGATAGCCTTTTTAAGTTTGTTTTTTCATTCTACCATTTCTTTTTAAGAGAAATACCAGTAGACAGACAAAGCCACTCAAAGTTCAAGTTATGCATTCGTCTATTGTGGCACATCAGAATTTTGGTTTGAAACTTTTGTCTTGGCTGGGAAGTATTATTGGATATTCAGGTAGGTTCAAAAAAACTATTTTGGAAAAAAAAATCAAGTGAAATAATTTCTTGCTTTAATTTCACATTTTAAAATACCATCTCAGAATATCTTTATGCACAGAAAAACCCACATTTCCCATATTTTGATCCACAGGATTTTTTATATGCATACAAAGGATTCTGTCCTCAAATAAATGCAGGAAATATTGGATTAAACAGTGGTAAATGACATTAGTATGCTAATGAAATCTAAATCTCACAGACTTGATACAAGAACTTTTTTTTTTAAACAACATTCTGTGGAACTCTGTTCCACTGAGCAAGCTGGAGAATACAAGTGTAAATAAAACCTAACTGATTACCAGTTTAGAGGATACAACACTAATGTTGAAATTTTTGTTTTGACTCCTCCAGATTTTGGTTACTAATAATTTGCAGCTCTGAACACTTGCAAATTTGAAGTTACTGATTTGTATTTACTGTCTTTGTCTTTCCACAGTCCACAAATTAAATCATCTTTCTAACGTGGTGGTAACAGAACAAAGAACTCTCATGTCTAATGCCAAAAGTACAAGTTTGGCGTATAAAATATAACACAAAAGAGAAAAACAGGAATACATCTAAGCTGTTTGTCATACTGTTTTTCAGGCAAGAGAGGTGGTTTGGATAAATGACATTTTGAGGTTTATTATAAAGAGAATTTCTAAAATATTTATCTTAAAAGAACATTGCCACATTGTGAACTGACAGTTGAAAATATTGAGGTGTGGAAATTTAGGAGACCATGTTTGCTTGCCTTTTAAATAAATGTCTCTCCAGTTATTTTTGTTATCCTCGTATATTTGAGTTTTGGTGTTTTCTATTGGATACCTGTGTGCCAAATTCTGTGCTACAGTAGTAATGACTAGTAGTATCATGGAAGCAATTTTCTGTCAAGAAATTTTTTGAGATATTTACCTGAAATAATTTAAAGACTATCTTTTATTTAATATTTATGTAAGTGTTTCTCTTTAGCCTTGTAAAAAATTTCTATTCAGTGACTTTTAGAACTAAATTTTAAAATTACTCCATTTTTACCTGATTATTTTGCATGCTTCTAGAAGACTAAAAACAGTAATTTTAATTATAAAGTATGAAACAAAAAGGTTATTGAAGTTTTGGCTATGTTAATGCTTATGTTCATATTTGAAGAACTTTTTTTTTTTTTTTTAAGTTCAGCATTTAGAAGATGTAGCAATTTGTCTTCCAGGACCTCTTCATAGTAGGTACACATAGGTACACAGGGAACGTTTGTTTAATGAATGGAAGCATTTTGCAGAACACTAATAAATGGACTGAGATATAGTACAGAGGCTATGCATTTTTTTTAATGGTAGCACAATTCTATATTACACCTACCTTCAGTTATCATGGGATGTAACAGTTTTGCTATAATCTGGTTTAATTAGCATAGGTCCTTAAAGAACAGTATTTAAATTTTTTACAACATAAGAGATCGTTGACTTTCTGATAGACGTATATTTTGGTATTCTCGAATAAGAATTGGTATATAATGCAGGATTTAGAATTTTCCTCCTTTTTGTGAAAATGTTAATAAAATAGTTAATATATTTACCTTTTCTGAATAAATTTGACCTTTAGTAAACATGTAAAATTCTATAGATTCGTTAGAACATTTCTATTAAAATGTCATTTTATTTTAATACTTAAAGTTACTATTTCATGACTACTTTTCTTCCTGTTTTAGATGGGCTTCGCCGAATTTTATGTCAAGTCGGTTTACAAGAAGGGCCAGATGGTGAAAACTCTTCTCTGGTGGATAGATTGATGCTTAATGATTCCAAATTGTGGAAAGGTAATCTTTTAACTACTTTCAAGGTATAGGGGAACCTTAAATAGGTAATTGGGAAACTGTTTTTTTTTTTTTTTCATTTGGGAAGGTATTTAATAAATATACTTACAGTTTTTAGAATAAGTACATGTAGTCTTGTTCTCTGGAAGAAACAAAAACAGATTTTGGAGTCCAAGACCTAAATTAAATAACCTTTATATTTTGTTAGAAAACCATTTTTAGAAAAACCAATTTTTTGAGAAGCAGATTGCAGGGTGCCTGGGTGGCTCAGTCAGTTGAGCATCTAACTCTGGATTTCAGCTCAGGTCGTGATCTCATGGTTCATGAGATAAAGCCCTGTGCCGGGCACTGTACTGATAGCACAGAGCCTGCTTGGGATTCTCTCTCTCTCTGTCTCTCTCTGCTCTGTCCCCCCCAATTAATAAATAAACATTAAAAAAAAAAAAGTAGATTGCAAATATTTTATACTGAATAACATGTACAGTTTTGCCCTTGAGACTTAAAATACAATTGTTCACATAAATACTTTGGAAATGTAATTTTTGGTTTGTTTGATATATCCTTATTTTACATCTGCTCTTTTCGTAAAAGGTGCTAGGAGTGTGTATCATCAGTTGTTCATGAGCAGTCTGCTTATGGATTTGAAATATAAGAAACTGTTTGCTGTTCGATTTGCAAAGGTAAGTAGTTTCTCAGTTTTGAAATTTAACAAAATAGTCAGGTTATATATGGAGTAAATATAACCTGTGATTATATCCAGGCTTTGTAATATTAGCAACTAATAATAATATGTTACTTGTTGATTTTAAACCCTAAGAAACTTTGTAAGTGATCTTTTTATCTTTTATCAATAGAGTAAAATTCTAGCTGTAAGACTTTTCTTGTTCATCACCTGCCGCGATAATACAAATATCCAACTGTGAAATGTGTATGATCTAAAATGATAAATGAAGAATTTAAACTTATGCCATGGTGAATTATGGTATTATTCTCATTGAGATTTGTATAAGGAAAAGATCATCTTAGCTGAAATGGCATGGATATATGGATGTGATTTTAAGAATCATGAATTCTTGGAGTTCCTGGCTGGCTCAATCAGAAGAGCATGTGACTATCTCAGGGTCATGTGCTGGAGCCCTATGTTGGGTGTGGAGATTACTTAAAATAAATAAAACTTTAAAAAAAAGAAGAAGAATCATCAACTCTTGGTTGTTGATATTGTTGAAGTATGTTCTCCCTTTCCATAGTATGTGCTTGTTTTTTTGTTTTCACCTGAATTAGGAATTCTTAAGGAAGCATATGAGGATCATTTGGGGAGCTCTTTCAAAATATATATATATATATATATATTTGTGTATCATTCTTAAACTTGCTGAAAAGCAGATTCACCAAGAATGGTGTCTAAGCTTGTATCCTTTGAAAGAGCCATCAGGTGATTCTGATATACATCCATAAGAAAGAAAAGTCTGGTTTCATCAGAGACCATGTAACACTGCTGTGGTTTAGCCCTGCCAGTATACAATAACATCCCAGCATTTTAGATGCTATTGCTCCTATTTGAGCTCATAAATTGCCATCATGCGTGAGAAGATTGTATAGTGAACCGGTATTTATACAAAATTTAATTGGTAGAAGTCATTTCAGTTATCATTCTCATAGCAGTGTTATCTTAATTGATTCCTCCAGCACTGACTTTTCATTATAATCCTTAAACATTTGGTCAATGTGGATTAGAGGTGAATCTCCCCCTTGTTGTTTAGAATTACCAGCAGTTGCAGAGAGATTTTATGGAGGATGATCACGAGCGAGCAGTGTCCGTGACTGCTCTGTCTGTCCAGTTCTTCACTGCACCTACTCTGGTGAGTAGTGCTTGCCTTTTCTTTGTAACTGATAGCTGGCACTCCTTGCCTTTTTTTGCCTTCTTAATAGAACTATGAGCGTTTGCAGAGTGATTATGTGACAGATGACCACGACAGAGAGTTTTCAATCGCAGACCTCTCGGTTCAGATATTCACGGTTCCTTCACTTGTAAGTACGAAAAGATTAAGAAGAACTTTCTTGTTTTCCATTGACAGAAGTAAAGCCTTAAAATAATAGAGAATGAAGATCTGTATATTCCTGAATAGAATAATATTTTATTAGTGGATGATAGGGCGTTAGGCACCTTCAACCATTCTAGAACATATCGTTCAGTATGTAATCTAAAGAGAAGAAATCATTTAAGCTTAATCTCTCTACTTTCTTGTACTACTTCCCTGAGGTTTTGAACTGATGAGTTAAAAATTAAACTGAGTTGGGGCGCCTGGGTGGCGCAGTCGGTTAAGCGTCCGACTTCAGCCAGGTCACGATCTCGCGGTCCGTGAGTTCGAGCCCCGCGTCGGGCTCTGGGCTGATGGCTCAGAGCCTGGAGCCTGTTTCTGATTCTGTGTCTCCCTCTCTCTCTGCCCCTCCCCCGTTCATGCTCTGTCTCTCTCTGTCCCCAAAAAAATAAATAAACGTTAAAAAAAAAAAAAAATTAAACTGAGTGGTTTAACACATGCATCCATTAGAAACAGCATATTGTATACAAACTCACATTTTGAGAAGCTCCCTCCCCCATCCCCGTAAGGGAAAGGATAGCTAAGGCAACTGAATTGCAATGACTGTGGGTGGTCTTGTACTAAGTTTCACTAGTTGCTCAGGAAGGCATCACTATGTTTTAGTGCTATACAGAAATTAAAATTCATATTTCATTTATTTAACAAAAATGTATTGAGCATCCATGATTTATCAGGCACAGTTCTAGGCTTTGGGAACACCATAGTGAACAAAAACTGATGCTATCCTTGGCCTCATGGAACTTAAAATAATGGGAAAGACTCACAGAATTCATTAATTAAAATTATAATGAAAACTCAAGAATTTGGTTGTTTTGGGGTGCCTGTGTGGCTCAGATCGTGAGCTCACAGTTCACGAGTTCAAGCCCTGTGTCAGGCTCACTGTTGTCAGTGCAGAACCCGCTTTGGATCCTGTCCCCCTCTTTCCTTGCCCCTCCCCCACTCACTCTCTCTCAAAAAATAAAAATAAACATTAAAAAATAAATAAAATTTAAAAACATAATTTGGTTGTTTTGAGAGAGAATAATAGATCTGACCTTTTCCCAAAGTTCAGAGACAGATTCTATAGGTAAGGCACCTTTATGTGGAGTCATGAAGGAAAGTTCATTTAAAGGGACCAGAGAAAGTCTGGTGAGGTAGGAAAGTTCCTATACAGGAAACAGAAGGAAAGCCAGCACAGTTGAAGATTCTTGAACATGGAATAAAATGTGACCAGAAATGAAGGTGGTGGGTGCCAGATTGTATAGAATTAAGAGTACTGTGTGGTTATTTTACTAACAAGGTACCTTTTCCAGTTTTTTTGTTCATTTGTCTTTAATGAGCATTTTTCCCCCCAAATTACCTTTATTTCATTTAGTACAGTTGAAGCTATCTGAAGTCTGTTTATCCACTAATGAGATATTATAGGCCAAATTAAAGATTTTGGTTTTTATTTGAAGACTATGGGAAGGCAGTGAAGAGTTTTAAGTGGTAACATTTACATCATCACGTTTGTGATTTTTTTTTTAAAAGATCATGCTGTTTGTAATTTGGAGAACAAATTGACAGGGGGGCAAAAGCAAGTGTGCGGAACCTCATTAGAACCTGATGCAATGATCCAGACCAGAGTTGGTGGCAACTTGAGCTGGGATTATGGCAGCAAATATGAGTGGTGAGAGAGATTTAGGTAGTAAAATCCATAGGACCAGCCAGACTTGGGTTTGAGGGGTCAGTTGGTGATTGGTTGTTAGATTCAAGGGAAAGTGTGAAGATGATTCCCAGGTTTGTAACTTGCAGCCCAGTAAGTGTTGTGCCACTTGCACGGGGGGGTTGGAGAATGAGTAGGATTTATGAAGAGAAAGAGTGATGCTTTCATTTTAGTCAGGGATGTTTGAGAAGCCCCTGAGATAATCTGATGTGTATCCAGATGTTTCCTCCGTTGATCTTTTTGTCTATTTCCATGTCAGAACCCAGTTTTAATAATTTTAGCTTAATATTCTATTTTGATATCTTCTAGAGCTAAATCCTTTAGTATTAAAGATGAACTAAAATCAGTTTGTCAATTCTTCCCTCCCCCCCCCCCCGAAAAATGAAAGACACATTAGGATTTTGATTGGAAAGGTATTGTATTTATAGATTCTTTGCAAAGAGCTGATATCTTTGCAATATTAAATATCTCCATCCAGGAACATAATTTGTCCTCATGTGTGAGGTTTTATTTTATGCTCTTAGTACAAGCTTTATAGTTCTCTTGTTTGGTCATACACATTTTTAATTTGGCTATGGCTTGTATGTAGAAAAAGTACTGATATTTGTAGATTCATCTTGTATCTGGCCCTCTTATTAACATTTCTTCTAACATTTTGTGCTGATTCTTTGGGATTTCTAATAATCTACAAGTAATTTTTGTTCCTTCTAATATTTCAACTTTTAATTTTTACTTCTTGTGTGATTCCTTTAGTTAGAAACACTGGAAAAAAAATAGTGTATGTGTTCATTTACTCAGAGCTCATTTATTTAGCACCTTTATTGAGTAGGTACTGTTTTGGGCCCTGGAGGTAAGCATTGCAGTAAACAAAGCAGACAAAAGTCCCTGTTACCACGGAATTTATAGGCTGAGAAGAAACAGATACACAAACATTTGCATACTGTTTATAAATCAAGCGTTGGTAAGTGCTATGAAGTAGAAAAGCAGGTTAAGGGGATCGAGAGTGACAGTGGGGGGGGGGGGGGGGTGCTCATATTTTATACATATCAGAAGGCCGCTCAGAGAAGTGGTTTTTGAACAGGAAACTGAAGGAAGTGGGAAATGAGTCGTGTGACTAACTGGTGGAAGATGAATTCATCTGAGATGAATGTGCACTTGGCATTTTGGAAGAAGGAACCCCAAACAGGCCAGAGTTGCTAGATAAATGAATGGTCAGTGACCTCACTGAGTTTAGGGATAGGGGTGAAGATGCAGTGGGTAAGGCCATTGCAAGAGCTTAGGTCTTTTGCCTGAAGAAAGTAGAAGAAGGCAAATAATAAAGAGCAGAAATTAATAAAACAAAGCAAATATACATGAGAAAAATCAATACAACCAAAAAAGTTGGTTCTTTGAAAAGAACAAAGAAGGGCGCCTGAGTGGCTCAGTTGCTTGAGCATCCGACTTCAGCTCAGGTCATGATCTCACGGTCCGTGAGTTCGAGCTCCACGTTGGGCTCTGTGCTGACAGCTCAGAGTCTGGAGCCTGCTTCGGATTCTGTGTCTCCCTCTCTGTAACCCTCCCCCGTTCCTCTCTCTCTGTCTCAAAAATAAACATTAAAAAAAAAAAAATAAAGACCAAAGAAAAGGACTAGATTTCTAGAAAGTCTAATAGGAAAAATAGAAAAATTTAATTTAATTAATTAATTTTTTTTACGTTTATTTATTTTTGGGACAGAGAGAGACAGAGCATGAACGGAGGAGGGGCAGAGAGAGAGGGAGACACAGAATCGGAAGCAGGATCCAGGCTCTGAGCCATCAGCCCAGAGCCCGATGCGGGGCTCGAACTCACGGACCGCGAGATCGTGACCTGAGCTGAAGTCAGACGCTTAACCCATTGAGCCACCCAGGTGCCCCGAAAAATTTAATTTTAAAAAGGACTATAAAAAAATCACCGATTTAAAAAAAAAACAGATTTTTACAGATATTAAGGAGAAAAGAAGGCAATATTGGGACCAACTTACATCAATATATTTGGAAATTTGGATGAAATGAACAGATTCCTAAGAAAATCCACAGGTTATTAAAAGAGAAACAAAAAACAGAATCTTTAATTATAATAAAAATTTTCTCACAAAGAAGTCTCCGGGCCCAAATGGCTACACTGGAGAATTCTTCCAAACGTTTGAGAAAGAAATAACACTGGTCTTACATAAATTTTTCCAGAAAACAGAGAAGGAGAATATACTGGCCAGTTTAATTGAGTTTTCTGTAATCTTGATACCAAAACTCAACAAGGCATTCATTACAAGAAAAGAAAATTACTGGGGCACCTGACTGGCTCAGTCGGTTGAGCATCTGACTTCAGCTCAGGTCATGATCTCACGGTTCTGGTTCATGAGTTTGAGCCCCACTTGGGCTCGAGCCTGGAGCCTGCTTCAGATTCTGTGTCTCCCTCTCTCTCTGCCCCTCCCCTGCTCGCTCTCTCTCTCTCTCTCTCAAAAATTAAAAAAAAATTAAAAAAGAAGGAAATTACCGTCTAATCTCTCTCACATATGAGGTTGCATAAATCAAATCAAGCATTATAGAAAAAGGATAATACATCACAACCCCATTTGGTCTTTTTCCTTAATGCAAGAGCAATATAGCATTTGGGGGGGGGGGGGAATCAGCTGGCATTACTTACCTTATTAACATGAAAAGAAAAAAAGTGTATCAAATGCTTTCCCGGAATTCATAAAAATTCAACAGTCATTCATAATTTAAAACAAAAATACCCCATAGCAAAGTAGGAATGAGAGAAAACTTTTAATAGAGTACCTAAGAACAAAACAAAAAACAGAAACCTAAAACAAACATTGTACTTAATGGTATTAAAAGCTTTCCCCCTGAGATTAGGAATGAGAAAGATTCCTGCTTTTATTCACCACATGGTAGACTGCCATTCTTTCTGTAATTTCTTGAGATAGATGTTTAAGTCATTGACTTTCAGCCTTTCTTTGCTGATATAAGGCTTAAGTTTCTAAGCACAATGTAAGCTGTATTTCATAGTTTTGTTATGTCCTATTTTTATTATACAGTTCAAAAACTTCACTGAGTTC